ATATTAATATACTATAGTAGTAATATACTAATATAGATATTGTATATTTATATAATATAAGTTATATAATTAATATATAATATTATTTTTATATATTAATATTAGAGATGTCAAACTAACTCGTCGTTCGCGAACAGCTCGTGTTCGGTTCGTGTTCGGCTCGGTCGTTAAGAAACGAAAACGAGCTTATTTCAAACAAACTAAATTTTAAACGAACCGAACACGAACACAAGCTTTGTTCGTTCGTGTTCGGTTCGTTTACACCCCTACTAGAGACTCTAAAATACATTAGAAAAATATTAGTGGAAAAGCCAACAAACATGCAACACATTTGAGTCATGTCTGGTGAGAGGAGCTAAGCAGCGCCTACAGAAAGGAAATTTAGTCATAATCATTACATTGCTCTTTCGAATTAAATGTGAGGCGTGCATTTAGACAAGACTCCTTGTAAGAGAACCGACCTAATATACTACCATGCATATCAAAACAGTAAGCATGCAAACACACCAAAGGCACAAAAAGTGATGCTTAGCTAAAATAACCAAACCAACATAGAACTATAGATAAGAAATAAAAAAAAAATTTATCAATCCTAGTCCTTAGCATGTCCTAACCAGCATCTAAGTGCTCAAGATAAGTCTCTGGGTATGTATGATTTTGATGGGGTCGCCATACCAAACCCATCATAAAGATCTAGAGTATCACCATAATGAATTTTGTAAAAGGGTTGCCCTTACATATGACCTAGTTTGCTACATGTATAATTTTTATCACTTACTTTCTCATCAGTTTCTTAAGTTTCAACGGCCTCAAATTTTACATCAATAAATCCCTCATTCTCTTTGACATTAAGAGTATTACTAAAGTATTAGAATCATTCTAAATAAAAAAAAATATTTATAATTAATAAATAACAAATGATACAAATATTATATGATAAAAAAATAAAATGAATAAATAAAATTAATCAATATATTAAAAATGAATATTAATACTCATTTTAAATATAATTAGCAAGTGCCTATCAATCTTTTACAGTTGAAATATCAAAAGTTCCTGCATTTTAAAATATTAGTGAACAATCAAACAACATCTTTAAATAATAAAATAAGACATTTAGATGGTAACAATTCAAATATTTAGAGAAAATTTTTTCAAGTAACAACTTCAAAAACAATAACTAAGCATTAAATAGACACTGCAATTTATATCACACTTGCAAGATGGTGTACAACTAAACTAAAGAGGCTAAGATTGGAGCTAAAGCAAACTACACAAATATGTATTGGTGCCTTTGATTGCGCAGAAGCATTCGTAGAAAAGCATAAAGTAAGCGTGCCCTATATTCTCTTAAACAACCATGATCCAAAGCCAAAATAAAAACAAATTAAAGAGGAAAAGCAGAGAAGTCGAGATGTGCAACTTGTGATACGAATCAACAATGACAGAATCAATCCCTTATGTCTTTGAAGCTTTACCTTGGCTTGCGACTTGCTTGGGATAGGAGAAAAGGTGAAATGATAAAACCTTAAAAACAAAGTCTCAAAGAGGAGAAATGGTGAAGTTAAACTACATGGTGACTAGTGTATACCTTTACTTGATCAAATCCGAAGCCTTAGAGCCTTGGACCTTGGGGTTTGACTTATGCCTTTAGACAGTGAGTGCGAGTCTGCGAAATGCTAAGACCATTTCACATGAATTTGCCCTTTCATCATCATATTTAGGAATCAAGTTATCCTGTATTGTCAATTTTTGGCTTCCTTATATGCATCATTGGTCGTGTGTTCTTAATACTTAGTTATGACCACCAATTAAAATTCCGTTTAGGACAGCTTATCCGCTATGGTGGTATTTTAAAACGCCGTCTCACCATTTGAAAATTACATTCGAGTAACTTATCCGGAAATACAGTTAATTTTTTACGCTTGATAGAAAACGGGAGTCACACACTACAGTCCTCATTTCCAAATAAATGATTTATCTATATAAGTATAAGCTAAGCTGCAATTTGCATTCGTTCGGCTGATAGCTACTAAAAGGCAGACGAGCGCCGTCCAATTTAAGTTCAAGTTGCACCACCCACGCACCACCCACGTGAGTCGGAACAAAAAACAAAGGAGATAGCGACACCATCAGAGCCCGCCGCCCAATCTTCTCTCCTGCCCCATCCCCTACCGAGCTCTCCGCCGACCACGTAAGCTCTCACTCCCTCTCTCCCCTCCCTACAGATAAATTTCCCCCCTTTTTCATCTCCTTCTGCTACTTCCCTGGCCCTTTGCTTCTTCGGTCGCATTGCGATGACCTTTTCGCTTGCTGGCGGTCGGCTGCCCATCGTCCAGTCTCCTCCGGGGATCGCCTTTCGCGAGCGACGGAGCGCGGGGAATTTCTACCTTTGGAAGAAGGAGCTATTTTCGGGTGAGTGATGCTGGTGTACCTTTCATTTGAATGCAGCTCTGTATTGCTCTGCTGGCTCTGCTGTCTGTGATTAGGGAAAGAGAACAAGGGTGATGGTAAGTTCTGAATAGGTTTTAGTCTCGGATTGTTCTTGATTTGGCTGATAATCTTTAGTGGAAGTTTGATGTGGTTGATCGATGGTGCTGGTAGAGGTTAGGGTGATATATCTGTCTCTCCCGTGCTTGTCATTACATTCTAAGTGATGTTTTTCAAGAATAAACTTCGCTAATAATCCCTAAAAATTAAACTTTCTATTCCGCTGTTCTAGTTTTCAGAATTGAATACGCGCTTCTTAATAATGGGTTAATGTAAATTTTGATGAGGCAATCCGGAGTTCATTTGTTGTGAATGGGTTTGTATATCCAAAAGTGAGTTTTAAAGCAACATGAAAGCCCAACTATTAAATAAGCCTCATGGGCATAATAGATCGAGCCCACCAGTTATGCATTTTGTGGTTTGGTGCTGATCAGATCAATCATATTTATGAGCTGTAAGTTTGGGAGTGACAAGCTGCAAGTACCTCCGTAGCAAGTTAGCATTCTAATGAGTTTCTCAGAATGAATCTACCCACTTGAACCTTGAAGCATGTTCTTCTAGCCAAAATCACGTAGATAACCCAAGTTTCTACTCCATACTTGTACGAGTTGGTTCAGCCTTCTCATCAAAACCGTTCACAACTCCTTGTCGACACCATCAAGCTCAACGAGTTGCTCTTCGAGGCAGAAGAAAGAAAATTTTTTCTACCCACTTGAACCTTGAAGCATGTTCTTCTAGCAAATCACGTAGATAACCCAAGTTTATACTCCATACTTGTACGAGTTGGTTCAACCTTCTCATCAAAACCGTTGACAACTCCTTGTCGACACCATCAAGCTCAATGAGTTGCTCTTCGAGGCAGAAGAAAGAAAATTTTTTACTTTTAGCACACATATCGACATTTATTAATAACATGACAATCCATACTAACAGTCTTATGTACATCGAGTTTGTTCAGGCTCCGTACTGCATAACTTATAACCTAGATTTATGTTTATTTTTTAAACCCCCACACGAGCACATATACTTCCTGAATATATAAATAAGAAGGAAAGAAGTAAAAGGGGAGATTTCTCTTTTTAACACTATGTCTATCCTACATCCTAAAAAAACTCTTTGAATCCCTCAGCTTCTTCTCACTCATTTTTCAAATATCTCTCCCGAATTTCATGAGTTCATGAATTATAGAGGATCTCATATTCCAAAAAAAAGATTCAACATCTTAAAATGTGCAATGAGCATGAAACCATTATTAAAATCTAATAAGGAGATTTTATATTTTAAGGAGAAACAAAGAAGAACGACGGAATACACTGGATAATTTGTGACATAACTTCTGAAGGAACTTATGAAACAATTGAATAAGAGGATAGAAGAAATAAGACAAGAAGTGTCCATAATCCACTGCAGAAACCATTTGGGAAAATGTGCGGGATTGTCAGGTTTAGTGAGACGAAGGCAAGAACAACAGAGAGACTAGAAGAACCACCTCGAGTTAGGGTGAGAAGAGTTCTGTATCCAGAATAAGAAGTGGAGGAATATAACGATGACGTGCCATGCATTTTTGAATAGGAGATGCTAGAGTCATAGAAGATGAAGAAAGAGGAAGACAAAAAAGAAGGAAAAAGATACCCAAGAATGCACTCCCCATAAATTATTGAAGTAGGGCTCACTAGAAGGTTCAAAATTTCCTCTATGGACTCTTACAAATGAAGAAGTGACCCTACCGATCATACAATGTCTAATGAATCAACATTCGTTCTGCTAGGAATAAAGGATGCCCTTAAGTGTCGTTTATTCCTCACAACACTCAAGTTGTCAGCTTTGCGTTGGTTTAACAACTTTCTAGTAGTTGTTAGCACCTTATTTGATAAATTCAAATGGATATCATAGCCAATTTGTTAGAGCTCAAAAGCCATGAAAAAAACTCCTAAGCTTTATTAAGAATCCAACAAGCTTCGTTTGAAAGCTTTCATAGCTTTACTACTAGATTCCAATGTGACATGCTCGACGTAAAAAATCTCGAGCCTTCTGTCGCTCATGCTACACTCGCACAAGGCCTACATGAGGGTCCGTTATGGTACGGGCTTGGCCTGCAAAAGCTTAAAACTTTGGCTAAACTCCTAGAATTGACTACTGATCACATCTCAACGGAAGAACATAAACTTTATTAGAACCCCTCTGCCATGGAAAGATCGAAGGAGAAACTCCATAAATCTCGTGAGAATGAGGGATCTAAATGCAGATTCACGCAAGCAAACTTGTGAGATATCCCTAGGATTTATCATTAACCACAACGACACGATTATAGCAGTCTAATCGAAGTCTTATTATAAAAAATTCAGAAAGAAGACAGGAGATGACCCAACCTTCCATGTTGAAAAGCACTCCTTTGCGAGTATCCATGACCAAAATCGTAGAGGTCATGCAAAACAAAGAATTCTTCTAGAGGCCTCCACCAATGAAGGCTGTGAGCTTCCAATAAAATTCAAAATAATATTAAGCTTATCATCGCGACCACGAGCTTGATACCGAGAAATATCGTCACCTCTGAAACTTGATTAAAGAATTAATCCTAGAAGGGAAGCCATAAGAGTTTGTTGTGCCCGAAGCTCACACTAAGTGGTAAGGAAAGACATCAGTCGAGACCGTTTCCGATGAACTAGTTCTCAGTACAATCGAGCATATCACCGACGTCTTACCTGCCATCTTGAGTGGGGCGGATCTGAAGCCGCTAGACATTCAAGTTTGAACCGGGAGACTTTCATTCCGCTAGCCTGGCTAGAACTGCACCTTACAATCACGCGTTGATAACTTTCACTAGAGCTGACTCACCCGAGGGCGGGAACTCTTTTAACGATGCTATAATCTTTGCCATAGTCATTGACATTCACCAAATCAGGAGTATGTTGGTGGATACAAGGAACTTCGTCAACATCGTTTTCGAGAACATATTCCTGAAGATGAATATGACAAACACCCAACTCGCTCTTACTTTAGGACTTCTCTACGGGTTCTCAAGGGAAAGAAAAGAGATGCGAAGTCATCTCTTTTCAGTAACTTATGGAGAATTAGATAAGCAATGTACATTCATGACATATTTCATACTGGTAGATGCTCCAAGCACTTATAATGCTATTTTTGACAAACCGATCCTCAATGTGCTCAAGGAGGAAAGTTCCATCTATCATGTCGCTGTCAAATTCTTAGGAAGAGGATAAATAGTTATTGTTCGGAGGGACTTGTTCCGATCTCGACGTGCTACTTGTGAGCAATGGGTAACGTGCAAAAAATTCTATCGAACTTGACCCCCATAAAGGGATCAGTTTGGAGACCACAGAAGCCACCAATCAAGTGTTTGTCTCTGAAGGTGAATGCAAGCAAACATTTCAAATCAGCTCCAACCTACATCACGAGCATATGAAGCAGTTGATCTCAACTTTTAAGGATCACCACGACATATTTGTGTCTGCGAATGAGATGCCTTGAGTTGATATCGATATTGCTTGCTCAATCTCATCCCTAATGCTAGACCCATCAAGCAAATAATGAGAGTTGTAGTCACTACCTTGATTGAACCAATCTGATAAGGAGTTCAAAAGCTCATGGAAGTCGACTTTATCCACAAAGATCAATATCCAGACTGGTTAGCAAACATGGTGTGGTTCGAAAAGCAAATAACAAGTGGAGAATATGCTTAGACTTCATCAACTTGAATGTGGCCTCCCCAAAATACAGTCATCCTCTATCACGAATTGACACATTTGTAGATTCCACGGTAGGTCATACAATCATGAGTTTTTTAGATGCATTCTCAGGATATCATCATATAAAAATGCATCTCGCATGTACTGAAGAGGTCGCTTTTATCATTAGATAAGGAGTCTTTTGTTATAATATAATGCCTTTTGGCTTGAAAATATTGTTGAGACGTAACGATGTCTCATGGATATTGTATTTCAAATTAATAAAGGTAAAAATGTTGAAGTGTATATCTATGATCTTCTCGTAAAAAATGAATCATTTAAATAATATATAATAGATCTAAAAGAAATTTTTTATATGTTGAGACGATTCAATCTAAAACTTAATCCCTCAAGTGTACTTTTGGAGTAAGTTTAGCAAAGGATACCTATTCACGCCCAAAGGGATAAAAAAGAATTATGAAAAATTGAAGCTATCCTAGACATGGCTTCCCCCAGGAAACTAAAAGAGTTGCAAACACTGACCGGATCCATCACAAGCTTAAGAAGGTTCCTCTCAAAGTCGAGTGACCATTTCTGATCCTTTTTTAAAATCATGAAGAAGCCTATCCAATTTATTTGGATGGAAGAATGCGACCTACCATTCAAAAAATTGAATAAACTATTGGCTTCCCCTTCTCTGTTGCAAAGTCTAAAATTAGGAGAAGAATTGTTCATTTATCTTGGTGTTGGGAAAGAATCAATTAGCTCCGTTCTGGTCCGTGAGGAGAACAAAAAGTAATTTACAATCTATTATGTGAGCAAATTTTTACTAGGAACAAAATCATGATATGTGATAATGGAGAAATTCATATTGGCTCTTATCATCTTAGTGAGAAAACTACGCCTTACTTTTAAGCAAATACCATGAAAGCAATCATAGATCATCCACTCAATGAGTGCTGCCACGACCCGATTATTTTGGAAAATTATTAAAATGGTCAGCGGAATTAAGCGAGTATGACATTTCTTACATTCTAATGATAGTGAGCAAAGCCTAGGTTGTCACTGACATCCAAGTAGATTTTAGTTGAATCACATCAAGGGTCGACTTTGAGCCTATATCTTTTGCTTTAGTTATATATGTTATTATTGGATATTTATAGGAGGATGTACCTTGGTGTATGCTTTTCACTTATGACATCTTTCTTGTAGATAAGATTAGAGAAAGAGTTTAGGAAAAAAATGAATTATGAGGGTCAACTTTATAGTCTAAAAGCTTTCATCTGTGTGGTCAGGTTACAAGAATAGGTGATCAAGTCATTTTAGATATCTCGATTTATTGTTCAAAGTAATGATGATATAATATAAATGGAAATGTTATTAGTTGAATTCAAGTTGGATGGTTGAAGAGGAGGAAGGCATCACACCTATTGTGTGATACAAAAGTACTGCTTAAACTTAAAGGAAAATTTATAAGATGGTGGTGAGACTTGCAATGCTCTTTGGCATATAATGTTGGCCTTTAAAAGAGAAGCATAAAACAAAGTTAAGTGTTGCTGAGAGAGAATGCTTATGTGGATGAGTGGCTTGACACTTTGAGACAAAGGCGAAATGAATATATTTGTGGTAGGGTCGTTGTAGCTCCAATGGTGGACAATATTGGACAGAGTCGTCTTAGATGTTTGGTCACATTAAACGTCGACCATCCAATGATCCGGTTAGGAGAGTAGATGTTTTTGAATCGACTTATGTTAAGAAAGGTAGAGGTATATCTAAAGGACTTGTGCATATTGTATAAAAAATGATCTTAGTTTATTCAAATTAAATAAAAATATGATAATTAATAAAGACTTGTTTTTACTGTTGTTATTGTTACTATTGTTATTACTTTTAGTATTGCTTATACTAATAATGAAATGGTAAAGTCAGGATCCTTGATAAAATGTTCTATTTTTTATTTTAGGGTTATTACCTTGTTTTATTGTTCCTTCATTAGACTTGTAGAGCTTGGCTGTCTCATGATTTATAATTACTATTACTGTTAATGTCTTTTGATTTTTAGAATCATTTTGTTGCTATAGTATTTGATAACAGGTTATATCATAATTTATAATTACTTTTTAATATTTCATCTTATCTTTTTCTGATGAAGGCCATTTATTCTTGTATAAATAATATTTCTATAGGGAAAACCCGGACGTTAAAATTTGAGAACGCTTCTTGTGATGCTGATTCCGCATCAACTACTACTGCTGCATCTCGCAAAGTGCTGGTACCGGATACACAAAGTGATCCTTCGCCCTTGTCTAGGGACATAGACAATCAAGAAGTTGCTTCAGACACTCAGGTGTGCTGAAATTTTAGATTCTAATAAATTTATTGTTTTACAACTATAAACATACAATAATGCATATACCTTGCCATGATTATGATCAGTACTTTTAAATTTAGAAAAGTTGTTCTCCGAGTTGTCGACCAATGAGCTTAATCACTGTCGGTTTTTAATCACAGTAGGTGCACTTTGTATTCACCTGTCCTCCTTGAAAGAACATAAAGCGCTCCTTCATTTTGTTTCTAAAGTTTAGGGCTTGGTTTGAGTTTAAGTTAAGCTAAATCAAGATAAACCAAGCTTCTTGATTATATGATTGAGCCTTAAGAGGTTAAGATGTTTGGTTGGTGAAAAATGAGCTACTTTAAATCAAGATAAGTTTTGAACATTTTTTTTGTTGGTTTTTAGCTTAAGCTGATGCCTTTGACATATCATGACAATTTGTCGTTGTATATATATATACGTACTTCAATTTACTATTGTAATTAGTTAAATTTTATTATATAGTAATGATAGTTTTTTTTTATAGAAAGATTTGCAGAACTTTCGCAGCATTTTCCCATGAAATATATTATTTACTCTATTCACAATTTAGTGAAATGTTAATCATTTACAAAGCATATGACGAATACCATACAAATAGGAAACATAACTTTATGCTCCATCTATCATATTTGTCAAATAAAGAATTGGTGCTGTTAAAAGTGTGCTTTAGGAGTGAAGAAAAGTGATGCATTAGTCGTGCACTTCATAGGGTCGTGAGCATTTAAATTCACAACAAAGTACACAGTTTACCCTAATTTGTTAGTTAACCATCATCAGACTTCAAGTTAGGGGATCTAAATGAGCTATTTGGTAATTTTCATGTATCTAAAGGTTTAGTTTCTTAGGCTTTCACTTTATTTGTACTTTGCTCGTACTTTTTTTTTTTACAGTTCTTGTTAATTGCATTTGTTGTATTATATCATTTTTTCAGTTATAATATTTAGATTTTATTGAATTTTTAATTTTTGACAATAGTTATACCTTTGCAGGTATCAGAAGAAGAAGAAAAGAAAGATGGTAACACTGATGATTTAATGGCATCAATGTCTTCAGAGTCAATTAATGAAATGCAGTCTGGCGGTAACCCTGTTGACAAAAGCAGTCAGAGTTTTGAAGAGCCAAACAAATATATTCCTCCTGGTAGTGGACAAAGGATTTATGAAATCGATCCTTATTTGCAAGGCCATCGGGAACATCTTGATTACAGGTAGCTTTGCATTATTATTTTATCATAATACATTATATTATTTCTCCAAATAACATAGTATTTTGCTTTGTATGCAAAAAATGCTTTCTCAACGAGAGTTAAATTTTTATGGTAATCTAGATGTTAAATATATACCTTATTTTCTTGTTTTGAATATTATATATGTAGGGAATGAGCATTATATGGCTCCCTATATATTCATTGAAATAAAAGTACAAATTGTGGAGTGGAGACTGATCCCCACATCTAAAAAACCCAAAAACATACAAAGTTCACTCCCAAGGGGTTCCATTTCCATAATTACAACTCAACGACCAAAAAACAAAGAAATAAGTAAATACCAAGAAACCCATACATGTATACCGAAGCAAAGGAAAACCAAAACGTATAGCATGTATACTGAGGCAAAGAAAACCAAAACTTATAGCACTAAGAACAAGGGGACCTAATCCAATCACAATAAGAGTCATGAAAATATGGAGAAAAGAGGGAGTCTTGACGAAACTCCAGTACACCACGATGCAGTCCTTGCTAAGTAGAAGCCTCGGACAGAAGAAAGGGCGAAAACAATAAGCCAACCAACAGTAATTGAAGAGACAGAGCAGCAACATAACCGGGTA